CGGTCAAACTTATTCACTGAATTTAAATTTCATTTAATAAATCTGTGATATGTCATATCACAGTTTTTTTTTTTATCTAAGACTAAGGACTGAAAAATCCAGGATGCTAAATTAGAAAAGGAAAACAGTTGACTTTACTGTGTAATTTCCAAACATCTTGTGCTTAATTCTCCACACTTCCATAAGAAGACAGAATGCATTATAGGAAAAGAGTAATAAACAACTGACCATAAACTTTAACTGATGCGATGGCTCCAAACATCTATATGAAGTACTTTGACACTAGACTTTTCTCTGGCTATTTATTTCCTTCTCCATTCTCTTAAGACTAACTAGTCGACAAAACTCATTCAATCTTGAGAATATAGCTGTTTCTTACAAAACTTTGGTTTTTGCTCTAACAGAGTCATTTCCCTTCATCATTCCTACAAACCTGGGAGACATTTCAGTCCCTGAAGACACTATTAGTCAAAAATGAAAATGCTGTGTGAATATGCCACTGTTTTTCAATCAGCCTAACGCTCATAGGGAGGATATGAATTGCCATCAGATACTCAGTTAAAGGAAGAGAAACTAATTCTTTTCTCTTCACAAATGTCAGAAAGAAAGAAATGGCAAGATAAGGACTTAGTATAACCGATGGATTAAAATTTCAATTAGAAATATAAAATGTCTTAAAGTATTTATTCTTTACAATGTGAATGTAATCCAAAGCTAAAGAAACACAATAGGAACATATTTCTTATGAATTTTTATTATTTCAGAATAAAAAGTTTAGGACCAGTGGTATAGCTCAATGGCAGAGCACTTGCTTTAGGCAAGCCCCTGAATTCTATTCACAGCATCAACAAAACAAAACACAGAGAGACACATGTACACAAAAGGTTTTAAAAGAAAATAACTCCCTAAAATTGTAAGGACAGTAATCTTTTAATGTGTATTCTTTATTATAAAAGCTCAGAAATCTGTTTATAGAGTTGGGATGTTTCTTTGGAAATAGGTTATTTTTAAAAAGAATGCAGCATAACTATATTTGTTACATAAATAAAGCAAAACTGTAGGGCTATGTTGCCCTACTATACTAGAATACTATGCACCATTATTTAGTCTGTAATTACCTGCAAAAGCCATGCAAACGTGGTCATCAAGAGCACAAATTTTCCTCACAGTTCTTTCATCTTGAAGCTTGGCAACAGATTTTTTTTCTACCCCAAGCACAACTATATTGGTACCTCGAATTGCAACCTGTCAAGTCATTAAAAGAATAAAAAATTGAAACAAAACAGACATATTATTCTAAAGGAATAGGTTTAAAGGAAAAGGCTTTCTTTAGACATTCAACAAAAATAAGAAAAGTAGAACTCTAGAAAAATAGCTACACAGGCACTGGATTATTGGAAGCCCATTCTACACAGTCAAAGAAGACAAATATAAAATGCAAAGAAAATACAAACAATGATGAAAGGACACGAGTGTCTTAATCTTATACAGTACATCTGAAAAAGTTCTATATAAATATAGTATGATTTTAACCAAAATGAAAGATGCTGGTAATCCACCTGAATTATTTGTAGAGTGGCAGCACTAGTACTGATAATGAAAACAGTAAAGAAAGAAAATAAAACTCTACAAAAGCTCTCCCATGTATCTTACAATTTGGAAGAATAGTAACTGAGTACTGCTATGACATGAATGTTTAGCCCCCCTTCCAAATGCTTGTGTTGTAATTCTAACCCTTATTAATTCTCTCTTTCAAATATATATATTGTAACTTAAACCCCCAAAGTGATGATATTAGCACATGGGGCCATTTGGAGAATTAGGTCATGAGGGTGGAGCCCTCATGAACTGGGCTAGTGCTCTTATGAAAGTGGCTCAAGAAAGCTCATTTGCCTTTCCTAAGAACATAGCCAGAAGGCATCATATGTGAACCAGGAAATATGCCCTCACCAGACACCAAATTGACCTTGATCTTAGATTTCTCAGCCTCTAAACTGTGAGATATAAATGTTTTTACAAGCTACCCATTTTATGTTGCTTAGTTACTAAAGCACAAATGAATCATGACGGGGCACAAAAGTGACCAAGAAATGTCCTCACCTTATGCTTAGATAGTTTCAGTATGTTCCCCACGGGTTCGTTTATTAGGCATGGTCATCAATGTCAATGTGGCTGTTTTGAGGTATTAGGAACTTTAAGAGTTCAAAGGTTACACTCACCTCAGAAGGGATTAACGTAGTTATTAAGAGTCCCAGAGTTACTGCTCTTGAGAGAGTTTGTTATAAAAAGAACAAGCTTGGTCGCCCCTCCCACTGGTTTGGCTTCCTGTTTGGTCATGTGATCTCTACATAGTGCACATTTGTGATCCCGCCACCGTGAGATCCTCATCACAGCCAAGCTGATGCTGGTGCCATCCCCTTGAACTTACAGAACTGTGAGTTAAATAAACTTTTCTTTAGAAAGTTACCCAGTTTATGATATTTGGGTATAGTAAATGCAAGATAGACTAATATGTCCTAAATACTGATGAAGTAAAATGAATAATAATTGTGCCTTCCTTTCTTCCTTTTTTGGAACGAACTGGGAAAAATGTAAAGTACATATATGTACTCTATAACTTTCTAGCTGGGTATATTCCACAAGCTATGAAAGCTTCCAAATCATAGGCTCTATATATGTAAAAAAGGGATTAATTATTGTTCTTCATACTAAATAATGTATAAAAATACCTGTTACAAAATAATACTTAAGTGTTAGTTATTTCTTTCCTAGTACCTTGACTGTATTCTGTGTAATAGAAATACAAAACAGAAATTATGCCATTTGGATCCTCAGAGATCTTACTATACAGTTGGAATGAGAAAATTATTAAATATACCTGAAATTAAAGAGAATATGATGCCAAATAATAAATACTGCCCAACACCCTGAGTTACAGAAGTACAAAGTCATAAAAAGAAAAAGACTAGATTAGAAAACATTTCACAGAGGAAAGGAAGAGAAACGTAGAGTTAAAGGGATGGAGATGTAGTTCAGTGGTACAGTGTGTGGCCAGCATTGAAAAAAATATGTATATACATGTAAAGTGTAAAGCACCAGAAAGAAAGGTGTTTTTCCCTCTCTCCCCTGTATGGCTAAAAAATGCCTCAATTAAAAAGGATACATGAAAGACTTGGCTGGCCAGCCTCTGGAGCTGAGATTTGAAAGGTGGGAAATATGAAGCCAATAAGATTTTTGAGGTTAGAGAAGAAACAAAAAGAGGAATGATAATAAGATTTACCTTTTTCATGGATATATTATGATTTACTCTTTTCCCTAAGGAAGGCACGTCCTGTTCAAAATGTTATTCAAACATATGTATTTATAGAAAAGGAAACTAAAGCAAAGAGAAAACAGCCTTCTGACCCTACTTTATGTTGTCAGACAATCACTAAAAAGAAAGTAGAACTCAAGTTCAATAATTATGGCTCATATAACTTTTTATATCATTAAGTAATATCACATCTACATACTGTTCAAAATTGATCAACCCCGGCTTATTTGTAACTCATCATATCAACTGTTAATAAACATACTATTTTACCAACTATTATAATAAGTGCCAGTATAAACTTTACCCTATGTAAAAGGTCATAGCACCCTCAAGGAAACACAAAGTATAAACCCATAAAAGATGCAAATTATAACTTTAGAATCCTGAGACAAAAGTCTCATCTTTCCAATGTATCTTTAAAAATGCCCACTATAGGTACTTTTATATCCTTAGGCTTTTATAGCTCATTACAAAGGAACTATCAATCAGTTCTATAACATTCTTAAAACATTTTAAATGAGCCAATGTGGTTTCTTATCACACCCCTGTCTTCTACTATTATTCCCTTTATTTTAGGCTCTAAAACTTGAGCATTATTTTCTAACCATATGCTACATGCCAAGCTGGGGATTATATAACTTTTGGTTTTTATCAAAATGGTACCCTTTTGGTTTACACTACTCCAGGCTTTTCTTAAATTTACAATTCAAAAAAATTACTTATAAAACAGAAGTAAAACTTGTGGGCCCAATTAAATAGAAAAATACTTTTAAAATGATTCTTCTTTCCAGTGGGGTTTTTTTTTTTTACCACTTACCATTTGATAGATTTATAATGCAAGTGAATTATTTTCTTCCATTATGAAGTTGGTATGAAAAGTGAGAAAATATACAGACACTTGTGGACTTAGAAATGGTCTGTATATTCTCATAGCTACAGTCTCAATTTTCAGAATAAACAACAAGCATGCTCATGAAATTTGAGGTTTTGTTTTTTTTTTAAATCAGACTCTTGAGTTCACAAGCTAGGACTTGCAAGCTTGGAGTAATAGATCTTTGGTCACTAGGGCACATTTGTCCTTTTTAACTTTTATAAATCACAAAGATTATTGAATGTAGTTAAAATTTCACAGTAGTATTACAACTACCTTGAGTATTTAAAAGTTTTTCAGTAATGTAGATATATGTCTAAAAGTAGGATAGAGTCATAAAACTTCCAGTACTGCTTTAAAACAAAACAAAACAACAACAACAGCAACAACAAAAACCAAAAAGGGGCAGAAGAGTAGAGATTCTTGGGTTCTGGGTTTCTAAAAGGCCACCAAAGTTTGGGATGGGATTTTAGACATTTTTAACAGGGTATTTGGAGTAGCATTTTTAACCATTTCCTTATTAACAAGGATTAAATCTTTATACTGATCATTTTATAATTCAGAGGCAGGTCTAGCTGATTTTAATTTTTATCAAAATTATTAAACAACATGAAGGAACTGTTAACTCTTGCACAGTTATGTGAACTCCTGAGGAAGTAAGGAGCCATGAACATGAACGTTCATGGTGAGTTGCGCTAGACATATTCTTTCTTGTCAAACACAGCATTAATTGATCTTGTAGAGTCCAAGCTTCACCACACACACAAAAAACCTAGTTTTGGGTCTATAGCCATCTTTAAGCAAAGGAAGTTGAACAACAGAAGCCAATAAAATCGATCAACTTTTACTCCATTTCCAGCACGAATTTCAGAACAGCATTCCCTTCAATTAAAAAATTTTAAAAAGAATAAGCAATTTTCACAAGCGGGGGACTCTAGTCTCCTCCCTTGGTCCCCAAGGTTGGAGCACAGGCTGCCCAGGACAGTGGGGTGAGCAGGCCTGACAAGGCACAGGGGTGACAGTAGACGTTGTTTGCTCACCGCTGTGGATCCCTTCTTCACTGCTTCCTGAGCATATTCCACTTGGAAAAGGTGTCCGTCTGGGGAAAATACAGTGATTGCCCTGTCATATCGAGAAGCCATGGCACAGGCCTACAAGGATTCCTGTTGAGGGTCAGTCAGCACCAAGCTGAGGTGGCTGGGAAGCGCAGGCACCACCGCTTGACGGCACCCGGAAGTGCTCACAAACGTACCTCAAACTGCTTCCCAGAATTCCTCGCGCTCATGCCGTTGGCCGTCTCCCAGAAGTCTTTGCACTGGTGCCTTTCACCTCTTTCCGGATTTTCTTACTTTCTACTTGTGCAACCCCGGCAATTCCTGGGAGTTTTCTGTGTTGATCCCATCCTTCCTGCCTGCCCATTATCTTCCAATTTCCCACCACAGTGGTACCTTCGAGTTATTAAAATGAATGAAAGATTAGGGCTTAACAGTGAGGTCAACAAAAGTCAAATACTTCTGCATCTTTCAGAGAAAAAGTGATGAGTAACGTTTCAATCTCTTCACTTTGATTTCAGGTCTCTCTCGTTCTCTCTTCTTTTGTTCTTTAACTCCAAGGAAAGAAATTCTAATTTTCAAAATGGTGTGATTTTGTTTTTTCTTCCTTGTAAGCAAAATAGAGCCTAGGAGCAAATGGTCTATTAACAAGAACAAATATCCTATAATGATAACCACAGAAATGAAGGTAACATTGTTTTAAAAGAAAAAAATTTAGAAGCCCAAAGAGGTGACTAAGATGTCTGAACATGTTGGTATAAGGCGAAACACTCATACAACCTGGTAAGTGTTTCTAACTGTGAAACAAGTCTATTTGTCATCAGTAAAGTGGGAATATTAACAATTCCGCAACAAAGTACATATTCTGAGGTTAAAATGTATTTATACATGCAATTACTTAAAATGGTTCCAGATAGGTAATAACCAGGCAAATCTATTATTGTTTTCTATGTATTATTTGTTTGTTTTTTGGTACTGGGGATCGAACTCGGGTCCTTTTGCTTGCAAGGCAGGCAGCAGAACCACTGAGCTACATCCCTGTCTCTCCTTTGGGGAAGGGGAGGTTACCTTGAAGTCATCCCAGTGAATGTCTGCCACTTTGGTACAGAAGGATTTAGTTTAATCTTGTGCTGGCTTAGGACACAGAAAGGCACATAAAGTTGGGGCTCAGACACCTGCGGCCTGGGGTAGGGCAAAAAGTGTACAAGGAAGTGGTTTAGTAGAAACAGGATGAGTGTAGGATTGAGTTCTTGTTGACCAAAGTAGTTGGTCCTTGGTGGACAGTGGAGTGCCATGGGTGGCATGAGCCCTCAGGCTGGATAGCTGCTGCTGCGGTGGCCGCATCTGCCCAGTTCACCAGTTCACTATTCTGGAATCACAGCGGGAGCTCTCTCTGGGCCCCCTCCACAGAGTCCCTGGCGTGGACGATGTTCCTGCTGAGGTGGATGCTGAAGTCTCCCCGGGTGGTCCCAGGGGCAGCCTCCGTGGTCAGTGTGTCCTATCATCGCTCTCGAGGCAAGGACCACATTGGATCCCCCCCACCCCAGACCATAGGCCCAGACATCATATAGCTGACGAGGGCTGGGTAGAAGGGCTTCCTCCTTAGGTCCTTTAGTGCTCGCCAAGAATGTTCTCAGGTCCCTCCGGCATCTTCATCCCAACCAGTTTGAAGCCTCGCCTCTTCAAGCGCTGGATCACAATCCCAATCAGCCGCTGCGCTCCATCTGGTTTCACTGCCGCCAGAGTCCTAACCTGGGTCCACGTGGGCTCCGGAGCTGGGGCCAATGAGCAGAGAGGAGCCCACAGCGCAGTGCGCCCAAGAGGCTGCCCATAGCTCCAGCTAGGCCTGGTGAGGGCAGAGGTTTGGGGGCTGGGCCAATAGATTTTAATGTAACAGAGTACAAGTTCATTCATATAATTGTAGATTATATATTTCAACTAATCTTCAGGAAACTACTACTTTTTCAGTTTTGCTCTAGATCTAAGAGGATACAATGATCTGCAAGATATAAATATGTAATGAGTTTACTTTTTTCATTAATAAGCATCTTAATATCTAATATGATAAGTATTGATAGATATAACCCACATTCTTTTTTTAAAGGCTTTTTGTTTGTTTGTTTTTTGAGACAGGGTTTCACTATGTGGTTGAGACTGACCTGGATCTCACTATGTAGCCCAGGCTACATACTGGAACTCGCAGTGATCCTCCTGCCTCAGCCTCCTGAGTGCTGGAATTACAGGCTTGTGGCACCATGCCAGGCTTTTTTTGAGTCCTTCAATAATGGGAGCAAAATGTTCTTGAGGTCAAGATCTTTAAACCATTGGAATAAAGTTTTGTTCTTTGTGACTACTTTCCTATCGGAAGCAGAAAGACATTTTCAGTGAAGATAATATCGCGAAGGGCCACATATAATTGTTGCAGTTTTTTCATAAGCGGTATCCTATTCTCAATGCACATTCAAGAATAACGTGACCAAGGCCAGGGATTTAGCTCAGCAGATCCTGAGTTCCAGTCCCAGTACCAGAAAAAAAAAAAAAAGTGACCAAACAAAAGGAAAAAAATCTCTGATATGAGATCCAAATAGTGAAGTTATCAGATACAGATTTTTTAAAACAGTAAAATAATTAGAATCAAGGGGTTAAAATAACTATAACTATCAGGGACTAGATCAATAAAGAATCAATTTGCCATTTCAGAAATAAAAATGTTAACTAAAATTAAGGGCTTACTGAATGCATTTAAAAGTGGGTCAGAGCATATAAAGAGAGAAGTGTGAGCCAGACTTGGTAGTGGATGCCTGTAATCTTAACAATCTGGGAGGCTGAGGCAGGAGGATTCCAGATTCATGCCCAGCCTGGGCAATTTAGCATTCTTGGGAGACTATCTTAAAATAAAAATAAAAATAGTTTTTAAAAGGGCCAAGGAAGGATGTAGCTCTCTGCAAAGGTTCTGGGTTCAATCTCCAGTACCATATGGTGGAGGGGAAACAAGAAGATACTTTTTAAAAATGATGTCAAAATACAGACAAAAGTAGAGAGAGTACTGTAAAGAAAAAAATTGGTTATATTGAAAAAAACTATTATAGTTGGGAGGCCATAAGATTTTAAAAACAACTAAGGCCAAAATAGTATATAAAATTTTTCAGTTTAGAATTTTTAAACATTTTATAAAGCAAAAGGTATAGGAAAAACTATGAATACAAACTGGGATAAAATTCACACTTTAAAACTTCAATATAGTTGCTGTAAACCAAAGATAACAGGAAAATCTTAAAGCTACCCAAAGGCAGAGCAAGGTGGGGGCTTACCACAAAGCATCAATGATAAGACTGTCAGCTGAGGGCTAGGGATTTAGCTCAGTGGTTCCACCACCTGCCTCAAAAGCGCAAGGAACCAAGTTCGATCCCTGGTACACCCCACACATAAAAAAAAAAGAAAAAGAAAAAAGAAAAAAGAAAAGGGGATTATCAATTGATTTGTATACTGACATATAGAAATTCTATGTCAACATGATAAAAAATGTAATGCAAACATGACAAGTATATCTAGTGAACAATTCAGAATTGAAAGTACTAATGAATGTTTTAGTATACAAAGAAAAAAATACTAGTCGCCAACATTCACCAAAAGAAGTACAGCAGAATATTCTTTAGACAGAAGAAAATGATCAATGTTGAAAGTTTTGAGAGGCAGAAAGAAGTGAAGATCATTAAGGCAAATACATGCATAAATTCAAATAAATATTAACTGAATAATTAATGATCACCTTATGGATTTCTAAAGGCATAATATTAAAAGTAATTACAAAAATATGACCTAACTTGGGTAAGGCAATGAAGTTTAATGTCCTATCTTCCCTTTTCTGTTGTAGAAAGTGTTAAAACATTTTAATTTATATTTTTTGATACATGAAGCTTGAGTTTATTCATTTCTACTGATTATAGTTTTCACTATATAACTAGGCTACACTTTTTTGAAAATCCTTTTTCCTGTGATGTCTATTTAAGTTGTTTTCAACTCTTTGCTGTTATTGGTCCATGGATCCTTAGCCACAATTCAAAATGTAGGAAATCAGGGACTGGGGATTTAATTCAGTAGCACCACTCATGCCTTGCAAACTCAAGGTCCTGAGTTCGATCCCTAGTATTGAAAAACAAAATAAAATTTAGAAAAACCTACAAATTTAAAGCTGTTTTACCATTTATTTGGCATCAAGACCTGACCTGAATAAACAGAAAGCGATGTATAGTCTTAACCCAATTAATGAGAATATCCGTACGTTCTGCAGAGGAAATATTTAGCTTTTTTTGCTTACAGGGTGAACCATCATCCTTAAGGGGCATTATAGAATATGCAATGAATACACTGCATTAGCTTTCAAAGTTCTCCCAGAATTTCTGAATGTCAAAACATATGTGGGCCCAAGGGATTTGGATCAGGATGGTGGTCCAGTACAAACACCAGTGCAGGGAACATCTGTGCCAGAATGTAGTTTCTAAGGATGACCTTGACAGTGATTCCTAACCCCACGCTTTTAAAGGACCTTCTCCAATTCCCTCCCTTTCTGAGTAGGATTGTGAAGCTCTCGTAACTGATAAAAAAGAAGTGGAAAGGCTCAAAATGGATTATTTAAGCATCAGTGTCAAGATGTTATACTTAAAAACAGTGTATTAGACTCAAGGAAAGTAGAAGAAACATAAAGATTCAAGTTAATGAAATAGTATATGTGTTTTTTCAAGCAAGTAAATTGAAACGGCTAATTGCCTAACACAGCAATATACACATATAATCCTAGCTTTTTGGGAAGCTGAAACATAAGGATAGGAAGTTCAGGACCAGGGTAAGGAGCATACCTAGGCCCTGTTTCAAGAAAAATAAAAAATTAAATTAAAAAATAAATATATAAATGGCTAAGAAAATTGACAAATCTAACCTAGAAAAGAGGAGACACGATAACGTAGGTCACAAAAAGAGGGTACTGCTTTGCTATACCTCTTGGTGACTTTAAAAAGTTTCGAGTAACTTCATGCCAATAAATTAGAAAATTTAGCTGAAATGAGCAAATTCTTAGAAAAACATAACAAGGGCCGGGGATGTATCTCAGTGGCACTGCGCCTGCCTGGCAAGTGCAAGGTCCTACGAAGGAAGGAAGAAAGGAAGGAAGGAAGGAAGGAAGGAAAGAAGGAAGAAA